TATAATTGAAAAATGTCAGTCATGTTAAAATTTACATGAATCTAATAAAAACTCATTTTTCAAAAAATTTGCAAAATCGGCCCTTTTAATGTGAAAGACCCCATATAGTTTATATATTTTTTTAATAATTTCATCAAGAATATCATAAGAATTAATTAGTTAACTTCACTAGATATTTTAGTAACATCTAGGAGATTGTTAATTTTTTCTGGTTATTTGGCAATTGATATTTTGACACAATTAGAAAGTATAACTTCACCGAATACATACAGTATTGTTGTAGATTTTTACTTGTATAGTTTAAATTTTTCAATTGTATTTACTGAATTGGCATAAGTCATTTTGAAATCAGAATTCAGGTAAAATGATATGTACTGATTATCATAAAAAAAACTATTTAATAAAAAACATTAAGCAGCATTTTTACAGTATTTTAATTCTGATACCATATGTTCGGTAATTACTCCTTTTAGAAATAGTCTATAGATCATCTACGTAGATAGTAATTTATATTCATTATGTGAACTTTACTTTACAAATTTATAATTAATTAACTTGAAAACTACCTGTTTTTAGATAATATATATATACGTACATATATCAATTTTTAATTAACAGAAATTTGAGAAAATACAATAGGCATGTGAAAGTTATAATTTTAGATAATCTATCATGGTTATAGCATAAATTTTCTAAACATGTAAATTTATTGCTTAGCAAATTAATAATAAATATCAATATATCAATTCAGCAATATATTATTACAATATATATGTTGAATATAATACATCAGTATTGGCAGCTATACCCTCCATTAGAATTAACTTTAGCAGTATAATTTGGAATACTGTTGATTAAATTCATGAAAAATGATGCATCTAGCCTTTCCTATTCTGCTAAAAATATTGTTTTCAATTTTTTATATTTTCTTGAGAGTGGTCTTCATTGCTGTATTCTACGTATTTTTTAGCATATTCTATATACGCTTTTTATATAACCGGGCTATATTTTCAGAGAGCACTGTACATACGCATATTCATAGAGTACTCGCATCATAACATATTATAGCGTAATAGTATTATATTATAATATTTACTAGTACATAACCTGTTACTTCGCTGACAGTCTAATTTTATAATTAAAAATATAATATAAATAGATCAATTAAAATGGTTACAAAGTAGTAAATATATAGTTGTATATATGTTATAAATAGGAATAGGGTTTAAGTAGATTGAAATTTCTAAGTTAAATTAGCATTAGTACTTTAGGGTGGAGTTTATTTTATATAAACCCTATACCTCAACCCCAAAATTCCAAATCCACTTAATTACATTTCCACTTAACAATATATATAAAACAAATTAAACAATTATACGATTTTTAATGCAATCAAAGCTTAAGGTAATAAATTTATTATAATATTTGAATATAATGATAACAAATATGTGTTTGAACACAAGTTGGTTTTTCGAATACAATCAAAGTATTTATAAACATTTGAATATAACAGTAACATAGTTGGTTTTTCAATATGTGAACATTTGAACTTTTCAAACAGATCTTGGACTTATTGTAGTACATAAGTATCTTAGTTTGCCACATAAAATATCCAAATCTCTTACTTTAAACTCTTCAAAAACAATTTAGACTCTGGAGTCAGGAGTCTACTATTAGATAGTGTATATAAATCGGCATATAAAACTGCATTACATTATAGACCAGATCTTCTTAGCCCTCAGGTATGGCAATTTAAAAAATTATTTATATAGTGTAATCCAAATATCAAATTACATAATAGATATTATATGATCAATGCAATATATTATACGTATAGCAGATAATGAGGCACAATTAAAAAATTATTTATATGTAGTAATCTAAACATTACGCATCATGTGACTGCAACAATTTTAATATAATAGAGATTATGGCATTACATATTATGGCATTATGGCATTGTGGCATTGCAGCATTGCTGCATTTCGGTATTATAGCATTATGACATTATAGCATTGCGGCATTGCTGCATTGCAGTATTATAGCATTATGGTATATAATATTTATAGCAATCAGATATTGTACTATAATTAATTCTATCTACTGGTAAAATGCCGTAATGCTGTAATTCAGTAATTTTACTACAATAATTTTAGCAATCGAAAAAAATTTCGCCATACCATTTGCTGTAAATTATCTCTATTTTAGACATCTATGTATATATGTAGTATATGTTATTTTGGGACATGCATGAGCATTATTTCGAATCTGCATATGCTATTGTTAGGGTGAATTAATGCTGGATGATATCAAATTAATTATATTGTTATAGTAAAATAGGCAATTGTGTATCAATTTATTATAGTAATTTAATATATATAGTAACATGCAATTAATTATTACTTGCAATTGTTATACAATATTAAATATAGTAATTCACGAATCACAATAGGTTGAATTATATGTAAAAAAAAAATATATAAATCTTATGTTTTTTTAGTACAAGAATCTAATAAATCTAATTCATTTTAATAATATACAGTATTTTCTTTTATTTTTTTTATTTGAGAATCATTATGCAAATACCAACTAATAGACAATACAAGGAGAATGTCGCATTACAGTTTACTAAGACCAAATTGTCAAAACAGGCACGTGTATGAAAAAACAAAAAACTTAATCATGATCAAAATCAAATTGAGATACTTCATGAGCTAGATGTTGATATCCCTTTGGCAATCGATGATATTGTCTTTGATCCATCTCGATATTGAATTCAATTCGCCTCTTGAAAATATCTACTAGTGATAGTATTTATTATTTGGAGAGGGAGTAGACAAGTATTCTTCTCTGTTCTTCAGATCGGGTATCATCCAAAAAAAATAAAACTCTGTATGATATATCAGCTAGAGAATTGCTAATTAAAACTCTAATTAGAGAAGCAAAATTTTCTAACAGCAATTCTTTTGAGTTGTCTGAGATTCTGTCAGATTTTCTCTCTTTGATCTATACTAATATTATTAAAGAAACCAATATCAGCATTGAGAAATCATCACCTATTACTACTAATGAGAGATTGTGAGTTGCTTTTGGCCAATAGTTAGACTTAATGAGGCAGAATGGTCTATTAAAAAGAAAGCATGTACGACAGCATCTCAGGTTGTTATAGAAAAAACTCCAGCATGCTTATGATATCCAAAGTAATAAGGATTTTCAAAATATTTTTGATACAGCTACTGCATATAAAACTCGAAAAGAAAAGATACAGCTAATCATATCAGCACGTAATAATCTCAAATTGATAAGTGAACTGGTTTAATTCAAATATTTAACCGAACCAGAGTGCATTACAGATTTAAGTAGTCGAACATTAGTTCACTTGAAGCAACTTGATAATTACAATGCTGTTATACTTGCAACTAATATTGTAAATTGGTACTACTTTCATTTATTGGAAAATTTTTCACATCGAAGTGATCAATTTTAGACCAATTTTATCAAACATTTTGAGGCTTATAACAGAAACAATTTACTTCCTGTTACAAGCTTCAATACTGCAAGTACGTATAACATTGATCATTATAAATATGTTAACAAATTACTTTGAGGCCTCAAGGTATTATCAGACTGTATTAACAGGTTTCTCCAAGACTATTATGGAGATTTATATGCAAAATTAAGCAAGCTATCATAGGGCCTATTTGCACTGAAACTCTTTGGAGTTTTTCTAATGATAGCTATCAATTTTAATACTACTAGTGACTATCATTGGGATGAACATGATGCGGCAAATAGTTTATGTATCTTAGTTGTACTAGGAGATTACAAAGGAGGAGAGTTATGTTTTTCCCAGCTCCAAATAGTTGTACATCTTTGGCCAGAACAGATCATAGTATTTGCCTCACATTTATTACTCTATAGCAATTTTTTACTTACTAAAGGGATCTGGCACAGTGTCATTTATTTCATATATAACACATTTTTTCACCATTTACAGAATTTTACTAAAGTTTATAAAGAAGCTAGAATTGAGAAAGCTGCTAATAAACCTGAGCAAGATCTTAATAATGCTCAAGGTTTGAACAACTAGACCCAACTTTCTAAACCAGTGCTAAAACAAACATGGATTTCTTTTGCTATATCTGATCAGAGACGAGGACATATAGGTATAAATAGTTTTATAATGCTATATTATATATAGACAAAACTATAATTATTAATAATTAATATTTTTTCTAAATTTAGCATGTATCAGATAAGGGTTAAGGGCAGAAGATCCACTTCCAAAATTTTAATATACTGTCTTTTATTTATTTTACATCATTTTCTATTTAATTTATTTTTAGCTATAATTATTAATCAAATCAATATAAATAAAATAAAATAAAAAATAAAAATTTGACAAGTATACATAATCTATAATCTACTATGTTAACTAAGTTACTGCTAAATGCCAGATATTTCATACTTTATGAAAATAGCTATAAATGCTTGAACATTGTCTGTCGAAAAATGTCTAATGTCCAAGCCTTTTGATTAGTCAATTTATAATACCTATTTTATAATTTATTTTTTTTATTATATTATTGCTTGACACTCCTAGATCAATTACAACATTGTAACGTGATAATAACAATAATGTAAACCCTTCATTATACTATAAAAAAGCCTATAAAATAAAAAATTATTTTATATAGTATCTAGAAAAAAAAGCCAAAACTTTTTCAAAACTGTTTCCTAACTATAAGCAAAACAAAAAAACCCCCAGTACTTATCTAAAGACCAGTTCTCAGTTCTATCCAATCATTAATTTCAAAAATCTAGAAAGAGAAAAGTTAGTTGGATATGTAAAACAAAGACCAGTAAAAGAAGAAAAAAAAAAACAATCATTTATCCAAAAATCATTTCTTGCACCATTTGACCTAGTTGGCGCTTTCAAACAGATAGAAAACAAAACTGTACATATCTCAAAAATCAACTCAGTCTCAATTTGTGTCTAGCCCAGCTATTTTGCCTTTCAATTCATGTCCAGCCTGGCTATTTTGCCTTTCAAACATACCTAAGAAAAGAGGAAAATTAGTATTGTAAATAAAATAAAAAAAAAAAAACTAAAAGAAAAAAAAATGTTGATACTTAAAGACTAGTCCCAGCCTATTTTGTATCGAGTCGTCATTTTCAAACCTACCTAAAAGAGAGAAGTTAGTATCAATAATTAAGAAAAAAAAAGACAAAACAATTATATATTACTACTTATCTTAAAGACCAGCTAGCTCTTCAAACAGCGACTTTTAAATATACCTAAAGAAGTAGAGAAGTTAGGAACAGAGTTGAAACAAATGCAAATAATAATGCTAAAACTTATCTTGAAAGATCTGCCTGCCCCATTTCACACTTAGTAGCCACTTCTAAACGAAAAAGCATATCTAAAAGAAAGGGAGAAGTTAGTACCGGTAATGAAATTGAAAAAGAATGAAATTAAAAAAAGAATGATGCTTATCATAAAGACAAATTCTAAAAACAGATCTAGAGAAAGTTCAAGAAAAACAAATTGGTATATGCTCAAAAAAAAAAAAGAAACCAGAAAATTAATGATTAGGATAGTGATCAGAATTACCACTTTATATTTATTTTTCTACATAATATCTCTGCTCTATCCTATATGTAAAATCCATCCAGAATTTTTTTCTTGCCTTTTCTCTA